GAATACAGACATTGCCCCTGCCCCGTCGGTGGGAAAAAAAAGAAGGCTGGTAAAGTTAGTAAACTAACGGAATTAGTAAGACTCGGGAAATTAGTGACAGGCCCTGAAAGCTCAGAGAGTTCCAAGAAGCACGAAGCCTCTCTTGCTACGGTTATAAGGGCTGTCATGGATTGCTGGCTGGAAGAACGAGCCTGGTTGAGGCAGGCAGTCCGCCACTACGGCAGGGCGCTCCTGGGCTGCAACCTCCGTGAGTCACTGCCCATGCTGGGGTGGGCTTCTCATCACCTGTATCCAGCAAATAACCCTCCACCCAGAGTCCTGGGAGTCACTCCCATAAACTCGAAGGTTCTCTGACTTAGTTAGGGCTTCTATTCGCTGCGACGAAAACACCATAACCAAAAAGCAACTTGGGGAGGAAAGGGTTTATTCGGCTTACACTTCCACAGCACTGCTCGTCCTTGAAGGAAGACCGGAACTCCAAAAGGGCAGGACCTTGGTGGCAGGAGCTGATGCAAAGGCCATGGAGGGATGCTGCTTACTGACTTGCTTCCCCTGGCTTTCTCCGCCTTCTTCCTTATGCAAGCCAGGACCACCGGTCCAGGGATGGCACCACCCATAACGGGCTGGTCCCCTCCCCACTCAATAACTAATTAGGAAAATGTCTTACAGCCGGCATTTATGAAGGGATTTTCTCAATTAAGGTTCACGCCTTTCAGATAACTCTAGTCTTGTGTAGTTGACACAAGACTATCCAGCATGTTCGCCGAGCTGGACATAAACAAGTAGAATCTTTTGTTTGTTTGTACTTTTCTGGTGTCCTATCTAAAGTAAATACCGTTTGTTCACGTCTCCTCAAGGAAATTCTACAGCAGCTTGGCTCTGGCCCTTGCATGGCAAGCACTCTGAGTTCACTGAGAATGTATATTCAGTCTGTACATTTTACGAGTCAACGAGCATGACTAGTTGTATTTTTTTTCTTAAAAGATCGAATGAAGATGACAAAAGTTAGGAGGTGGCATGTTAGGAAAGTGAGTGTTTGTTTGCATTTTTCCTTTCTGCAATTCCACACGGAGGAGACCGGGACCTGCAGTCCCGAGCCACCCCTCCATGGCGGGAAACCAGGGCCGCAGACCTAGTGTCTAGCGCTGGCTGCAGGAGACTCGGAGGCAGGCACCAAAAGGCGAAGGGGCTCGTTGGCGCAATGCTCTCCATCCGGAAAGGGGGAGTGGGTTCGAGCTACCAAAGCTGGTGAAACCCTAATCGAGTGGGTTGATAGAGGGCTGAGGGCGGTAACCTCACAGAGAGCGTGCAAAGGAGGAGTACGGGAGAAAGGGCTGGACACAGAAAATTAATGTTGAGATGGGCTGGAGGACGCAAATTTCAGTTCTGGGCTGCAGCTACGTGATTTGAAAACGTGACATCGCCAGGACCTGGCCTCCCACCCGCAATTTCGGTATTTTCGTGTTCTGTTGTAGCAGGGAGATTTGAACTCAAAACCCCTAGTTTACAAGGCCAGTGCTTTAACCACTGAGCTATGGAGCCAGACATGCACTTCCTCTCTGCGCACGAGCAGTTAACACCAATGCCGTCATCGCGCAGCCGCAGACTATAACGCTAACCTAAAAAGCGATAAAAATAGAAATTTTGTTTTCCAATCAAGTAGCGACAGCAGACACCACGGCACTGTCCACGAGGACAGATAAAACAGGAGAAACGAGAGCCTTCGGGCAGAGTCTTTTAAAGAACAGGTCTGTGATGTGCCTGCGGGCGGGAGAGGACTGTTCTCCAGTGACAGGAGCTGTGAGGGGAGCCCTGGACCGCCACAGGAGCGGGAAGGGGACTAGTGACCAAGGACTGGAGCCAAAGGTCAAAGTGTGGGTATGCAGTGGGAATGCGGAGGGGGGGGGTGAAACTGTCCTGCAGACTCCAAAGTCAGAGATGGTAAGCTGGTACCTGAGATGGGCTGGGTAGTGACAGCAGTGAGGGAATCATAGGATCCGGCTATTCCGAGGTGCTGAGTGGAGAGCTCGGGTGAGACCCAGAGTGCCTTGGTCCCGCCTTACTTACACGCAAATTCGAAAAGGACAACCAGTCCTTAAGGTACATCTCAAAGCCAGCCGTGAACTAGCTTGTCGGAGCCCCTAAGGGCCCCCCCCCCCGAGCGAAGGACAGAAAAGACGAGTGTCTAGGGGACGGGGGGGAGGGCAGGAGTCATAATCTGAGAGGAAATTGAAAGCAGTAGCTGTTGCCCATAGCCCCTCCGCCTGATGGCTAGCCTGCCCTGGCCCGAAAACCAGATGATTTGGGTCACTTGTTGTACAGGCCAGAGGCAGCCCCGGGCGCCCTTCATTTGAGTGCCGAGAACTCTGTAAAGACCGGATGTAGAATCCTGGGTTCTGGGGTCTAGGATTCTGGGTCAGGTAAGCAGGATGTCTTAGGGCCAGTTATTCTCAGAGACCCAATAATGTCAGAGGTCTTATGTCCAAAAGATGAGAGGGAGATTTTCACACAGTCTCACGTGAGCTTGGGCAGTCAAGTCACCAAGTTGCTTTGTAGCCAAGTAATTGTCACAGTAACTGCTGTCGCATTACAGCCATTATACAGACATCTGTAATTATGCTACAAATGCCATTCTCAGACAGAATCATGAATACATTTAGACAGCAGCTACCCACAATCCCTGGTCCTGGCCTCACATGTACACAGGATACCTACACCCAACACCCCACTTCCTGTGACATGTAATATTTTGTCATTCTAAGCAGTCATTAAATGATACAAAGGAAATTATGGTCATCAAAAAGCCATACAAGCGGGGGCTGGAGAGATGGCTCAGAGGTTAAGAGCACTGACTGCTTTTCCAGGGGACCTGAGTTCATTTCCCAGCAACCACATGGTGGCTCACAACCATCTACAATTCAATCTGGTGTCCTCTTCTGGCATGTAGGCAGAACACTGTATATGTAATAAATAAATGAATCTTAAAAAAAAAGCCATACAAGCTGAGTATGGTTGGTACACACTTTTAATCCCAGAGCTGCAGAGGCAGGAGGGTCTCTGTGAATCCAAGGCCAGTCTAGTCTACATAGAAAGTTCCAGCCTAGCCAAGGAAACACGATATTTAGAGCTATCTAAGTCTAAATCTGCCCCCCGGCCCCGCGACATAGTCACTCATACTTGACTTCAGTGTTGTGGTGTTCCAATCCACTGGTAAAGACCAAAGACTTAGGCTCAATTTAGATTAAATGAGCTGGCTCTTACTGCTAGCGGAAAGACAGCAGCCTCAGAGGCAAACAGCATGCTGTTCTGTAGAGAACTACAGGAACCCAGGTGATATCCAAATGTACATTACAATTTCTATGGAATCCACGTCTGGTCAGGAAATCGCTTTATTCCCTTCAGTGGTTTCTCTTTCCCATTGTATAGTAATGAAAAGACTACTTCATCCCAGTCCCACAAACGTTGAGTTTTTGAAAGCAGAAAGCAGGAACACCATTGTCCTATTCTTATCTTACCTGCAGCCACTAGGATCTCACAGTCATTCCAGGGCAAAGGTCAATGGCCCTTAAGGGTTACCTGGTACCATATTGTTTCTTTAGCCATTACAGGGGAGTTATGCGTAAATTACACAGGTCTGAGCACTCTGGAAGAAGTGTGACAAGTTGACTGGGGTACAGCAGGCAATAACACAGTGCCATCAGGTTAGGGCTGGCTGTCACATCCCCATACCAGAATAAGCTATCTCTTGCTCCCTTTGAAGTGAAATCGAATGTGTATGTTTATGTGTATGTTATCTGTGTGTATGCATATACACATGTGTGTGCGCTGGCTCTGGGGTGTGTGTACAGAGAGACCAAGAGAGGGCATCATAATATCCTTTGAAGCCGGAGACTGGGTATTTATAAAACATGCTACCTGTTACATGGATGCTGGGATCTGAACTCTGCCCATCATGATTCCACGGTAAATGGGAAGCTGTGTTTTTTGTGTGGTTATCTGTTTGCAACAGCTAACCCCTATACAGGTGCTCATAAGTGCCCTCACTGAAACCCTCGAACCTCTCATCCGATATCTGAGATACAAGCACACAAGCTCATACACCTCAAATACTCGGGATGAAACCATTACTCAGACATAGCCTCCTACAGTCAGACCAGGGCATCAAGAATGAATCCATCCACCCCCAGAAGTGTGCTCAAAATCTGTATTTCCATCTGCTCTGCCTCTTCCCAAGGGAGCACTCACTAAGCAGGGAACAGCCCACTGCTGCCCTTCCAGAAGCCCAGCTTTGTATCCAACAGGATAAGGAGGCTTGCCCGCTCAACACTCTCCATAATGGAGGCTCAGTAGTCCTCGACACCAGGATGCTTAGCTGTTTGCATAGTTAGTAAGATCCAGAAAGAGTTTGTCAGGGCTGTGTTTATGCTGCGTGTATCTCCACACTGGTGCTAGTTGCATCAAGAATCAATCTGTGTTTCACAATTCCAGAAACTTTTGATCTCCTTACCCAAAGGAGGCTATACTCTGATGGAAAATGTGAGGCTTAAGGCACCTATGATCACACATGTTGCCAGTTACTGTGGTCAAAGATATCATCATATCAGGCTAAGGGGTGCTGGAAAACAACAATGCAGGTATATGTGTACACTGTTGTCCAGGCCTTGTTTATAGGCCAAGAGTTTCCTTCCAGGTCTAATCAGGCTGGCTTCTGAGCCTGGAGCTACAGTGTTCCTCCCTAAATAAACAGCCCAGCCTGGCCAGCTGGATTCGGAGGACTCAGTGACCTCTCTAGGCAGAGTCCGCAGCTGCCACAAATAAATGTAAAGTAATAACCTGATGGCTGGAGAGCCAAAGCACACCCTTTGCAAGGGTGCCAGTCTTCGACATTGTTCTGTGCGCACAGGGACCCTTCTAAACCTAGCCCATGTGGTTTGAAGCACCCTTGTTAAGAGCTGGGCTTTGTGGGCGATCACCTCTCCACAGTTCAGATACAACGCGCAGGAACAGTACAGAAAGGAGAATGCCCAAGGGTCCAAGTCATCTCTTCCCTGTGAGTTACCCAATAGCGCCTCTTTACTCAATCAGGTTTCAGCGCCTCTGGTTGTGACAGCCCGCTAGGGCAAACTGGGTTAGGGGTGTGGAGGGAAAGTCCAAGATGGAGTACGTCTGTTTTATGGGGGAGAGCTCCCTCAAGGCTGCCCTGTCCCCTCCTGGGAAGGCCGACAGCTCTTCACGGCCAGATTCTCAAGTAGGTGCTGGTGGAGCAAACAGAGAAAAGGGGGAACACTCGCTCTTGAAAGTTGACCCGGAAGGTGTACAGGTGGCGCATATCCTCCACTGCATAGAAGGACACCGCCCCCACTTCCAGGTCTAGCGCCACCCTCACCCGCGACAGATGCCCACAGGTGAGGGGCGTCCTCTCGGGGCTGGTTACAGCCCAGTATTGCCCATTGTTGAGTTGCATTGCCCAGACACCCTCCTCAGGGGTAAAGGGCGTGAGGCCTTGCGACACACACTCTCTTGGGCCACACCAAAGGCCCAGCCGTCCTTGGAGCCCACTTCCACCTCCCAGTGATGTTGCCCTGAGGAGAAACCACAGGATGCCAAAACGCGGGTGTTGGTATCAAAGCTGTTGGGATGGTTAGGCAAGTCCTGGGCGCGCTGTCCTAGGCGCATGCTCTTTAGATCCAGGGACAAGATGAGGCAGGAGTTGGCTGTATCAGGGTCCAAAGTGAGTTCCACTGAGGATAGAGAAAGAAAGATGTTTCCAACAGTATTACTTTCACAGCCTCTACACTAAGGGCACACTCCCTTATTGTCACCTGGTCTTCCCTCCCTTGAGGGAACTTTCGTTTTTCTTCTTCTTCTCTTTCTTCAATTTAACAAACATGTATTAAAAAATTTTAACTAACTCATAAGTTTAAGAAATACAGTAGGCCTGATTTGGATCTCAATTTGAGCAGATAATCAAATCTGATTTCAAAGATAATTGTGGAGCTGGGATTGTAGAGAAAGCATGAGTTTAGGTGGAGGCAGAAGAACCAGGAGTTCAAGGTCATCTTCACTTACATAGCCAGCCTGAGGCCAGCCAGAGTCCTTGTCAAAACAAAGACAAGTGGGGAAATTTGAAAAGTAGACACAAGAAAGAACTGTCACTCTCTCTAGGTGTGATGGTTGTTTTTAGGAGAGGCAGGAATGAGACACTATCTTAAAAAGTCTGTCTTTTTGGAGGTAACATATTCTCACATTATTTGTGTAAATACAATATCTTTGTTTTATTATAAAACTTAACATGCTGGTGGGTGTGGTGGCACATGCCTTTAATCCCAGCACTCGGGAGACAGAGGCAGGCAGATGTCTGTGAGTTCAAGACCAGCCTGGTCTACAGAACTACTTCCAGGACAGTCAAGCCTACCCAGAGAAACCCTATCTTAAAAAAAAAAAAAAAATAGCCGGGCGTTGGTGGCACACGCCTTTAATCCCAGCACTTGGGAGGCAGAGGTAGGTGGATCTCTGTGAGTTCGAGGCCATCCTGGTCTACAAAGAGAGTTCCAGGAAAGCCTCCAAAACAATACAGAGAAACCCTGTCTCGGAAAAAAAAAAAAAAGCTACAATACACTAAGTTGTACACACTATTATAGGACTTGTTCCAGGCCCTCTGCAGTGATTTGAATGAGAATGGCTCCCATAGGCTCATAAATTTGAATGCTTAAGTCACCAGGGAGTGGAGCTATTTAGGAAGGATTAGGAGGTGTGGCCTTGTTGGAGGAAAACGTATAGTCTAAGCCAGGCCCACCCAGAGTCCTCCCCCCCTCCTCACCCCCCCACCCCCACCACCTCTCTGCCTGCTGCTCTCAGTTACTATTACAGCACCATGCCTGTCCAGTCTCAGCAATGACGACCACAAACTGAACCTCTGACATTGTAAGCCAGCCCCAACTAAATGTTTTCCTTTGGAGGGGCTGCTTTGGTCCTGGTGTCTCTTCACAGCAATAAAACAGTGAACTGAGACATCCTGGAATACTACAGAGATCAAGGTTGGTGGACGACCTTGCCCCCCCCCTTTTTTTTTTTTTTTTTTTTTTTTTGGTTTTTTAGAGACAGGGTTTCTTTGTGGCTTTGGAGGCTGTCCTGGAACTCACTTGGTAGTCCAGGCTGGCCTTGAACTCACAGAGATCTGCCTGCCTCTGCCTCCCGAGTGCTGGGATTAAAGGTGTGTGCCACCAACGCCCGGCCACGACCTTGCCCCTTTGCTGCTTCCTTCCCAGCTGTGTGAGGGAGGCAGTGGCAGAACATCTGGAGCGCAAACTGCACTTTCACACAGTAGCCAGGAATGGCTCACCGAAAGGGTGTGTTACAGAAAGATCTAAAGGAGGTGAGGAAGCCAGTTACATGGCAGGAAAACTTGACTCTGACCAAGGGGTGTCCAGTGCAACTCAAAGGTCCTGAAGCTCATGTGTGGTTGGTGCATTCTAGAAGCAGCAAGGAGTGTGTGCCAAGGACCTGAGATGCAGAGGTTAGATCCGCTGGGGCCCTGAAGGCCACTCAGGGCTGAGGGCACATCGAGGGCATGCTGAGTGACAGGGGCCACGGCAGGACCCTACCCAGGTAAACTCTGTGCACTTGCTTCCTTCCATTCAGGGTTGGATCTCTCTCTCTCTCTCCTCTCTCTCTCTCCGCCCCCCCCACACACACCGCTGCCTCCACCCCTGCCGCCGCCCCAGATCTCTGCAGGGTCCCTTTGTTTCCACTGTCCCCCAATCCCATACACAATTCCCAAGATCTTCAGAGGATTTATCTGCCCCCAAGCAAGCTAAAGCCAAATCATTCCCTATCATTCCCTCGTGGCTTATGGACCAATGGGCCCCACTGCCACCCGAGGGTTCAAAGATGTCAAGCAAGGATTAGGATGCGGGCAGAGTGATAGTCACTGAGGTGGATGGGCAGGCAGGGTCAATCATTTGTAAAGCCCCAGAGAGAGCCTCCTGCAGGGAGCAGGTTTACTGCCTAGCCAGCTTTATACTCACGGCCCAATGGGCATCCATACCTTTCTCCTCTTTCTCCAACTCTCCCTGGAGATCCTCTGCAGAGAAACAAAGCATAACAGATGTGCAATGTGGGAGACTGCCTGGCCAGGAAACCTCCTCTCCCCGAATACTCAGAGCCCACCAGATATTCTTAGAGGTCAAGAGTTACAGGTCAGAGCCAAGATGGGAACACAGGGAAGAGGGACCCCACCCAAGCGTCCGAGCTCCACCTCTTCCCCTTCTCCCCCTATTGTCTAGAACTGGTCTGACCTCATGTCTCCCCTCCTTAGCCTTCTTCCTGTCCCCAGTACTCTTCTGATCTGTCTGTCCCCAGAGGAAGCAGGACGCCCTGGGGTGAAACTCAGATGACTTTGTCATCAGTGCCTTCCCCGAACAATCAGGCTTTGGTACACCCCACCTCCTGGTTCCTCTTTTCAGTTCAAGAAAGACAGACCCTTAGGTCCCCAGTACCGACCAGGAGCACACCCCTTCCACCCAACACCGCACACCCAGGCCCCATGCCTTTGAACTTCTTCAGCAATCCTTTTAAGACGAAACTCTTGAGGGAAACATTCCACACTTTATTCTTCATCTCAGATGAGACCGTGGTTGGCTTGGAGCAAGGCACGCTGCTGCACCTGCAGGACAAGGCCCCTGAGGAAGTCCCAAGAACACCTTCCCACTCCACTGCCTACGACAATTAGTTTAGATACGTGTAATCCTAAAGGCCTGTGTGTTAAAGGCTGGATTCCAACTTACGCTCTATTAACAGATAACACAACCTTAGGGGTGGGGCTGGGGGAAGGACTTCCATGACTGCCTTTGAAGAGACTATCATCCAACTGACTGTCTGATTCTGTCTTTTCTTCCCTCCATCTCCCTCTCCCCATCCCTTCTCTCTGGCTTCCCAGCTGCTTCCTGTAAGAGGAAAAGGGAAAAGCAACTTTACGCAGGAATTCCCACAGCCAGGTAGGTGGGCCTTGGCCTTAAAAGGTACCCAGGTAAGGAAGTGGGAATTGGGGGTCAGGAGATGACAGATGATGTTGGGATAAAATGGGGGAGGGGGCGCAAACCAGCTTGGAAAGACCTAGGAATGGTTAGGTTCACTCACTTGCTTAGTGTGTTTTTGAATTCCTGAAAGAAAAGAGGGAAGGAAGTCAAATCATCATTATATAACCTCCATTCACCACTGAGAAAACATGACTTGCCCCTTACCTGACTCACGGAAAATAAACCATGCCCCACTGACCACAGGCGCCTGGTTTCTAGCTGTGGCTAGCTACCGGATGTTATGTCAGCTATAGTACCCTTCAGCTCTGGCCACAGATAGGCAAAGCTATGGTTAGTACTAGCATGGTTACCACCCAGACAAGCCATGGGGTCTTGTTTGTTTCTTTTTTGTGTGTCATCGTCATCCCTCCCAAGACAGGGTTTCACCGTATAGCTGTCTGTCTTGGAATTCACTGTGTATACCAGGCTGGCCTCGAACTCACAGAGATCTGCCTGCCTCTGCTTCCTGAGTGCTGGAGTTAAAGGTGTGTGCTACTTACTATACCTGGGCCTGGTGACTGTTTTTTTTTTTTATTATTGATTATTTATTTTTAAAGAAATGTTTATGTGTATGTGTATTTTACCTGCGTGTGTGTCTGTGCCCAGAGGTCAGAAGAGGGCGCCAGATCTCCTAAAACTAGAGTTACAGAGTTACAGGTGATGAGTCACCATTTGGGTACTGGAACTCAAACAGCCAGCGCTGGTACTGCTGAGCCATCTCTCCAGCCCCAACTTTTTTTTTTTTTAATGAAATAGAATAGGAGAATGGGGGGCTGGAGAGATGGCTCAGAGGTTAAGAGCACTGACTGCTCTTCCAGAGGTCCTGAGTTCAATTCCCAGCAACCACATGGTGGCTCACAACCATCCATAATGAGATCTGGTGCCCTCTTCTGGCGTGCAGACATACATAGAGGCAGGATGTTGTATTCATAATAGAATAAATAAAATCTTTTAAAAAAATAGGAGAGTGAATTATAGGTAGCAAAGATAAGGATTATTTCCTGAGACTGGTCTCAAATGTGTGTATACAGAATAAATGTAAAATAAATTATAATGTCTGGTAACCATGAAAGTTTTTTGTTATTGTTCTTGCTGTTTTTGCTTTTAGAGACAGAGTTCCTCTGTGCAGCCTTGGCTGTCCTGGGACTCACTCAGTTGACCAGGCTGACCTCAAACTCACTGAGGTTCACCTGCCTCTGTCTCCCAAGTGCTGGGACTAAAGGTGTGGGCCGCCACCACCCAACAACCATGAAAGTTTTATCACATCACTTCTAGCCTTCCAATCCCAGGAGAGTCAATGCCCTTTTCTACAATCCCCTTCCTCCTGCGGTTTGATTGCTCTCCAGCAGCCTCTCCTAATGCCTAGGGCAAAGGCCTCAAGGCTGTGACTGAGCCAGCCTTACCTGGAGGAAGTCTAGGTCAGGCTTCTGAGCTGTCTCCTGGATCTGGCTGCTGAGTTTGGACAGCTGAGTGATCTCACCCTCCAGCTGGGCCAGGTTCTCATTCTGCTTCTGGGTCACTTCCCGGGACAGCACCTCCAGTCGGCCTAGAAGCCGGCCCTCCTGCTCCACCAGAAAGGCCCGAAGTGCCTGGAACTCTGCCCCCACCTTCTCTTTCTCTGCTGCCATCTGCTTCTGTCTCAGGAAGAGGAGAGGTTGGCACACGACTTAGAGAAGGGACTTGGGCATGACATTAAGACAGGGGACTGGAGGAGGTATCCTCCGGGGCAAGGTTGCTTCCCCTCACTGGGGAAACAGGCACACCCACGCGTGCACACTGCGCACACCCCTAATTAAAATAGCCGGACTCTACAAGCCACAGCCTGAACACACGCTCCTCTCTCCCCAGCCACAGATGTCCTCTGGTGTTTCTTAGGACATGGACTCTACCCCTCCCTTAGGGCATCTTCAAACTCCCCACAACTACCTCAGGCTGCAGCTTCCATCATGAGGACTATTTCAAAGGTTGCTTTTTCTTCCTCTGTATATTCATTCAACTGCCTTTCACCTTCTGTTTTAGAGACAGGGTCTCACCATGTAGTCCTGGCTGGCCCGGCGCTTTCTATGTAGGCCAAGCTGACGTTGAACTCACAGAGATCTGCCAGCCTCTGCCTCTACCTCCCAAAAGCTGGAATTAAAGGTGTACCCCACTACCACTGCCTGCTACTCTGTCCTATTTTTTAAAATACTATTGTGGCTTCAATTCTTATGGAAATTCAAGGTCAGAATGCAGAACTCTGGAGGTACAGGGAGAGAAGAAAGCATCTGTAAGCAGAGGTAAGAGCGCACCCACTGGGCAAGGGTGCATGCTCTGTACAAGCTTAGCATTGCGTTCTTTCCATTATCAGATTTAGGAGTTTTCACGTTTTTAGATGAACTCCTTGAATTATTTTTTTTACACAAGCACACTTGTGTAGCAAAATCCCAGTAAACAAGAATTCTAGTGGCTATCAACAAGTAAGTATCCTGTCTCCAACAAGGCAAGCTCAATTATGAAAGGTCCTCTCCCAGGCAATTACAGAGGAAGGAAGAGGAGCTGCGAAAGAGTGAAGTCAGGAGCCCTGCGCTCAGATCACGGCTCCCAAGGCTTCCCATAGTACGCCTGCCTTGCCTCCATTATCAGACCTTGAACGGCAGCATCAGGGAGGAGCACTTGAATTCATCCACCCTGACCCAATGAGGTCAGCACGCTTCTTATTCCATTTTAGGGTGAGGAGACCCACCCTAGAAATAGTTAAGCTAAGTTTCTAAGGCAGCATAGTCTGACTCTTAAGTCTACTTCTGTTAACTCTATGACATTGACTCCCAAGGGAACAACCCAAGCAGAAGTGTTTATCAAAATAGCTCTCCATGTCTGTGTTAGTGGTGAGCATCTATAACTGTACCACTCAGGAGAATGAGGTCCTGCAAGCACAAGGCCAGCCTGGGCTACATAGCAAGGTCCAGGCCAACATGGGCTACATAATGAGACACCACCTTTAAAACCTGGAGGGGAGTAAGATAGGAAAGGAAGAACCTGAGAACATATTCCCTCTGTCTTGCCATGTGGCGCCCTCCATCTTGCTATGGTTCAGGGAGAAAGCCCTCATGGGGTGCAGAGCAGCTGCTGGCACCATCCTTTTAGACTTCCAGCCTCCAGAACTGTACACTAAACTTTCATTGCTGTTGTTGTACGGCGCTGGCTGTCCTGGAGTTCATTATGAAGACCAGCCTGGCCTCACTCTCACAGGTCCCTTCTGTTTCTGCCCCCCAGGAGCTGTAAGTAAAGGTGTGAGCCATCATACCCATTTTTTTTTTTTTTGGGTTTTACGAGACAGGGTTTCTCTGTTTTGGAGGCTGTCGGTCCAGCCTGGCCTCCAACTCACAGAGATCCGCCTGCCTCTGCCTCCCGAGTGCTGGGATTAAAGGCGTGCGCCAACAACGCCCGGCTACCTTGCACCCTTAAGTGTGCCTGCCAGAGCACAGCTCACTCTCTTGTCTCTTGTCTTTCTTGTCCCCACTCAGACATGGCTTTTCACTCTTAAACTCTCCCCCACCTCTCCCAATAAACCTCTTGCACATGGAGTGTTTGCTTACCGGCATACCTTCTTTTTATTTATCATTACGCACTCTATTCTTCAAAAGACCACACAGTCAATGACATTGTGTGACAACAGCAGAAAGCAGATGAACAGACCAAGAAAACTGTCCCAGTCTTGTTGTTGCTGACATTTGGGGCCAGATAATTCCTGGCTGTGGTGCTGGGATTAAAGGCGTGCACCACCAATGCCCGGCAAGGATAGCTTGTCTCCCCGTGGGGGAACTCGAACCCTGTTCTCCTGGGTGACAGGCAAGGATACTTCCCACTACACTGCTGATGACGAAATGTTGCATCCTTTGATGTTGCATTTGTTTACCTCTGTGAAGCTGTGTTACTTTGCCTGTCTAAAACACTTGATGGTCTAATAAAGAGTTGGATGGACAATATCTAGGCAGGAGAAAGGCTAGGTGGGGCTGGCAGGCAGAGAGAATAAAGAGAAGGAGAAATCAGGGAAGAGAAAAGATCAAGGAACAAGAGAGGAAGGAGGAAGACCTCAGGGGCCAGCCACCCAGCTACACAGTCAGTCATGGAGTACGAGTGAAAGTGAAATTTACAGGAGAGAAAGATAAAAGCCCAGTTGCAAAATGTGGACAGAATAAATAACAACAACAGTGGACAAACCAAAACACCTCCAGACATTACTGGATGGGGTAAGGGCATTTTTCAGATGAAAGTATTCTCCTCCTATCCTGACTTCAGCCCACAAAATTTGTACAATTATAAAAATCCCTGTTTACCAACCAGGCGTGGTGGCACACGTCTTTAATCCCAGCACTCGGGAGGCAGAGGCAGGCAGATCTCTGTGAGTTCAGCCTAGTCTACAGCCTAGTCTACAGAGTGAGTTCCAGGACAGCTCCAAAGCCACAGAGAAACCCTGTCTCAAAAAACTAATAAAATAAAATCCCTATTTAGTGGAACAACTGAGGCAGGTTCACCTATGACCGAATGGTGAGAAGAACGAGGGACATGTGAGTGGTAAAACACATGCTTGGCTGTGAAAGGCCCTGGTTTGGATAGGTTGGGGGGAGGGTTTGGGACAGGGCAGAAATGTGGGGGCGTGCTAAACAATATTCTGAGGAGGTGGGTCGGAGACTGGGAAGGTGCACAGGCCATAGAGAATGTCCTCTCAGTCATAGATGTAAACCAAAGGTTGAAGAGCTGGGCTCTTGCTCCTTTCTCCAGTAGAGGTGAAATAAAGGTCTGGATGGGTAAACTTTGCTTTGGAAAGGGAAGTAAATGATCAAATGTGAAAGTCTGGGAAGCTTGATGGATGAAGTTAAGAGCAGTTAAAAGTAAGGAGAGGGAGCCGGGCGTTGGTGGTGCATGCCTTTAATCCCAGCACTCAGGAGGCAGAGGCAGGCGGATCTCTGTGAGTTTGAGGCCAGCCTGGTCTACAGAGTGAGTTCCAGGACAGCCTCCAAAACAATTCAGAGAAACTCTGTCTCGAAAAACCAAAAAAAAAAAAAAAAAAAAAAAAATAGTAAGGAGAGGGCCAGGCATGGTGGCACACAACTTTAATCCTCTAGCACTGGGGAGGGAGAAGCTGGTGGGTCTCTGTAGGTTCAAGGCCAGCCTACGTAGCAAGTTCCAGGACAGCCAGGGCTATAGAGAGAGACCCTGTCTCAAGCAAAGCAAAACAACAGCAACAAAGAGCTCAGAGAGGAGCCTGAGTATCTGAACTCCATAATCTTTCCCTTCCAAACCTAAACAAGTCTGGGCTAGTTAGGCGTTGGTGGCACACGCCTTTAATCCCAGCACTCCAGAGGCAGGCGGATCTCTGTGAGTTCAAGGCCAGCTTGGTCTACAAAGCGAGTTCCAGGACAGCCTCCAAAACAATGCACAGAAACCCTGTCTCGAAAAACCAAAACAAACCAAAACAAAACCTAAAGTTTGGGCTAGGGGGAATATCTCAGCAGGTAAAAGACACTTGGTTCATAAGCATGGCAATTTCTTCAATCCCTAGAGGTGGAGGGCAGAAACTGATACAAAGTTGCCCTCTGACCTCCACATGCAGACAGTGACACATGCATCCCACAATATAAATTAATTTCTTTTAAAGAATAAGAGGTTCAGCCGGGCGTTGGTGGCGCATGCCTTTAATCCCAGCACTCGGGAGGCAGAGGCAGGTGGATCTCTGTAAGTTCGAGACCAGCCTGGACTACCAAGCGAGTTCCAGGACAGCCTCCAAAGCCACAGAGAAACCCTGTCTCGAAAACCAAAAAAAAAAAAAAAAAAAAAAAAAAGAATAAGAGGTTCTGCCGGACCTTGCCCTCTATTCCCTGCTTCATGAACAAATGACTTAGCCCTAACAGGCCCTAAAGGTCCCTTCCATTCTTTCAGCACTATTTATTGAGCTAGGGGGTGAATTTGTGAGATAGAAAATTTCTTTTCAAATTGGAGGTGTGGGACACTAGAGGCTACACAGAACCTGAGTCCCCAAGCCTCCCGTCCTCTGCCACAGCCAGGAGTCTCTCTGATCCCTCCTCACCATTTTCTCCCTTAACCCCTAATTCTTAAATCAAAGCTTTGGAAATGAACATTTTCTGCCAGGTGGTGGTGGCCCATGCCTTTAATCCCAGCACTTGGGAGGCAGAAGCAAGTGGACCTCCGTGAGTAGATATCTGTGAATTAGAGGCCAGCCTGGTCTACAGAGCCAGTTCTTTTTTTTTTTTTTTTTTTTTGGTTTTTCAAGACCGGGTTTCTCTGTATTGTTTTGGAGGCTGTCCTGGAACTTGATCTGTAGACCAGGCTGGCCTTGAACTCACAGATATCCGCCTGCCTCTGCCTCCTGAGTGCTGGGATTAAAGGCGTGTGCCACCAACGCCCGGCTCCAGAGCCAGTTCTTAACATGGCATAATCCGTGTCTCCTTGTTATATTCATGTTTCCACTTAATATGACTTTTTCTGTGAAGGAATGCATTCAGTTACAAGATGCTGCTACAGGTCATAATTGGCTGATTGTGAATGACTGTGTATCCTAAAATTTATTTGAACAGTCCCTTTCACAAGCTCTGGTTTGTATTATAAATTATATGGCTAACCTTCATGATGTATAACCATATTATCTTTCAGAAATCCACCCTACTGTTTCAACACACACACACACACACACACACACACACACACACACACTGCTCTGGGCATCCACAGCCCTATGCCTCCCACACTTGACCTCACCAGAAGCTCCTTGCTTTCCCTCTCCTCCGTGGATCGGAACACTTCATACTCTTCCAGTTCTTTCTTCAAGGTCCTCAGCCTGGAGTCCAGCAGCTCCTGTGATATGAAGGGAGGCACTGTGGGAAGATAATTCTGGAAACCCTCTCATGTACCATCCTAGAGCCATCTGGGAGAAAGCCAAGGTTCTGATCTGGGATAGATGGCATCTCTGGCTGTGGGGTGAACATAGCCTGTGCAGATTACGCTTGTCAGCGCAGAGCAAATGCAGGGGCCCTCCAACGGCCCAGGAATCTCACTTCCCCAAGGACATCAGCCGCATGGTCTGCGCTGAAACTCAAGATTCCCACACTGGTTCAGTCCACCTTGTCAAGCAACAGAAAGCATACTTATAGGGGGGCTGGAAAGGGAGCGCACACACCTCTTCTGCGGCTGCCCAGCAAGGGACAGACAAAGGGGAGGTGCCCAGAGCCCATAGGCTTCGCACAACCCAGACTTCTGCAGAACACACGCCAGGAAGCCAGGTTGTGGCCCTCTAGGAACCGGGTATTTTGAGTAGTGTCATGCCCCTCCTCGGAAAGGAATTAAGTGAAGGCACAGGATGTGCGGGTGTGCAAGAGGAGACTTTCTCCTGGGCAGAGTTACAACTGCTCTTGTCTGTTGTTTGTAACAGACAAGAAAATCTTCCAAGTCTAAGGGGCCTTCTCCAGGCATCCGGCTCTGGGGGGACTAAGGGAGATGAGGAATGTTCTGGAAAACCGCAGTTTAGAATGACAGAAAGGAGAAGTGAGCTCCCCTGTAGGCCTCCTGCCTGTAGTCTGCCAGGAGAGCCGGGAGACTGGAAAAGAGCCAGGGATCCAGGAGATCCTGCACCCACCTTGGCCTCCTGCACCGCCTCCTCCAGGGGCAGCACTGCGTGCGCACGATGCTCGCGGGCGCGGTCGCACACCACGCAAATGGCACGTCCATCATCTTGGCAGTAGAGCTTCAGCAGCTCTCCGTGTTGCGAACACCGTGCAGCCGCCGCCCCGGCTGCCACCGCCGGAGTCCCGCGTTCCCCGACGATGCCCGGGGGCAGGCTGAAGCGCCGAAGCAGCGAGGCCACTGCGGCCAGCTGTCGGTTGGGCCGCAGCTGGCTGGGGCGAGCGGGCTCCCGGCACTGAGGGCAGGGCAATGGGCAGGGAAGCGTGCGGGTCACCGTGCCGATTCCCCCTCCGGGACGCTCCCAGCAGCGCGTGATGCAGGCGCGGCAGAAGCTGTGCCCGCACTCGACCGACACGGGTTCCCGGAAAAACTCTAGGCAAATAGAACACGTCGCCTCTCCTTGGAGCTCTGCCGCCAGAGCCAGAGCTTCGGCCCCTGCATTCGGCCCGGTCCGCGGTCCCACTGTCGCCATCCGTGTCCTTGGGACATCCAAGTCCTGTGGCGCTGGGGAGGTTCCTGGACGCTACAGTACGCTCCAAGCTGGGCTGGACTCCCGAGTACCCACTGGGTGAGGAAGGGCGGGGCCGGCACCCGGCAAGTTGAGACATGAGCTGAGTGCACCCAGCCGGGAGTGGAGGCAGATGGTGCCCTTTCTCTGGGCTCCCATAGCCACCACCCCAGCTGGGGACCTCCCTCTTATCGACCCCCCTTCCTCAGCTTCTTTAGGCCCCAGTATGACCCAGTCAGCAGTAGGAAACTATCCGGGACAGGTGAGCGAACACGTCCAGCTGGGCTCCACTCCCAGTTGGGGCGACCTAGGCTGACCCTACATTGCAGGGGCAAAGGCCTGGCTCCCGGGGCAAGGTGTCTGGTTCCCCGCATACCGACTCACCCTGGCACTGTGCTGAGCTAAACTTAGGGTCTAGAATTTGGCTGTACCTCCTCACCCCAAGCACGGCCCTTTGTGTACTCTTGAAATACATCTCTTACAACCCCCCCCTTTAATTTTGAACATGTAATACAATCACTTTTTCTCATTTCATCACCCTCTCCACCTCCACACCCCCAAAAAATCTGTCTCTCCGCTGGGTTCTGCAGACCCTTTTTGAAGTTGCTTCCCTATCTCTTGTTTGTCCCTGGAGGCCACTAGGGTCAGGTTTCCTCCTCCGCCTCTCTCAAAACCTTTCTTGTCAATGTCACCATCCACTCATGCAATTGTAACCAAAAAGTGCGGACCTCGCTTCTCCTGCTCTCTGATGTATCTGTTCTTCCTGATGGCATTTTCCCCTCAACACACGAGACACTACATTCCCCCTTCTCTCCAGTCTATGGCCTCCTATTTTCTTCTTCGTTTCTATGTCTTCCCACTCGGCTCCCTGCCCTGGCTCAGTCCCTAGGTCCCAGTCTCAACACTCTGCGATCTGTTCTACAACAGGCCCCCAGACCCTAGCACAAACTGACTCCATGATGGAAGTGCCATTCAGGCTGTAAAACTCAGCACGTAGACGGTAACGCCTGCCAAAACTAAAACAAAGGCCTAGTCCATCAAAGTCCAAATAGTACTAGGAAAATCTCAAAATGTACTAATCTTGCTTTTTAGCTTAAGTAGTTCTGCTTCTGGGTAACCATTCTTGTTAATCAAAGTATATGTCAACCCAGAACGTGTGTGTGTGTGTGTGTGTGTGTGTGTGTGTGTGTGTGTGTGTTTGTGTGTTTAAGAGCTCGTCCTGGGAAAGGCTCCGTGCTACACTGGAATCTCAAACACCCAGTATAGTTGCTGGCTATTAAAAACTTTCTATTGACTTAAACCCATGTCCAAGCAGTCTTTGGTGAATACCCCACAACACTTCTGCTTTTTTGACTATAGAGAGTCCTTTTAGAGCTCATGGCTCCACAGTAAAAATCAGAACCCTCTGCTCAAACCCCGCCAGTAGCTGCCAACTCTCAGTAAAAATTGAAGTCCTCACAATAACCCGAAGACTCCACCTTCTCTTTGTGCCCAGCTCCTATGCTCACGCTCTCCTGCCTCGTCTCCTACGACTTCTGGTGCTGACCACAGTGCAGCCCTGTGGGTCTTATTCCTACATGTCAGAAAGACTCCATGCTTGATTCTCCTCCGTCATGGAACGTTTTCATTTTTCTGCAAATTCAACTACAATTATTTTCAAGATAAGAAACTTTTTAAGTCTGTTGAAGAAACAAGTGAGTCCCGGGACTAAGGAATGTCACCGCCTTTGGGCACACAACTGCAGGTGGTGAGCAGGGCCAGTACACCTACCAAGAGGCCAGAGTGAAGGCCTCAAGGAGCTTCAGTGGGGCGTTATTCGCGGGGCCTGGTGACACACTTGTAATCACAGCGCCAAGGGCAGAGGATCAGGAATTCAAGGTCATCTCTGCCTACATGGCCACCTGAAGGTCAGTTTGGGTTATATGAGACCCAGATTCAAAACGGGGGACATTTTCTGTGTAGACTATAGCCCCCAAGTCTATATCAATGAGCTACTTGTTTGTTTGGTTTTTCGAGACAGGGTTTTGCCCGGAGACCTCTACCTGTTTTTTTGTTGTTCCTAAGAGACTCCTCCTCATCCTCACTAATAATGGAGCTTCTAGTTTCAGCCAGGGTCTCTTCATCCTCACTCTCTGCCCCTGAACTCAAGGAGGCTTGAGTCTCCGTCTCTTGTAACTCTAAAAAGGCCTCTTTTGTGTCCTGAACTACCTGGTGGTGACGAACCTTATCTGTCAAAAGTGCTCCCCTCACTAATCTCCATAAGGAGAATGTCGTAGGGGGTAAGGACTCAGATCCCTCTTTTCGTAAAAGTCTATGAAGATCACGGCGAACCTCCTCCCAATCTGCAATATTTAAGTTTCCCCCAGTAATGAACCATGGACTGGCTCGTTCGATCGATTTTAGAAAGCCTTCTAGGGTTTTAGACTTGACTGCAGTCCCATTTTCTTTAAGTAACTTTTTTAGTTGATACTGCAATGATTCTAGCTTCCCGGAACTATTCCCCATAGTTTCTTAACCCCGTCCACTTACCTCGCTTTCACGATCTCGGTAGGACCTCCAATTGTCACGTCTGCTGTGCAGCCTGTGTCCGAGAACATGCGGAGGGTGTCGGGGATTGACAACACAGAGACTCGTTCAACGATGTAAAGAAAACTTTAAGCAGGCTCCAAAAAGGTTCAAGAAAACTTCCTAAGAAAGGCTCCCTCCAGAGAAGCTTCTGCTCTCTCCTCTACCCTGGCTCGTTCTGCTCTGACACCAAAAACTGATCTGGGCGCGTCAGAAGAGGCGGTTAGTCTTTGGACAAGGTCGAGGTCAGGGCGGTTTCTGTGGGCAGGCCTTTTCCAGGAACTTATTGCCCCGGGCATTGTATTGTTTTTAGTAAACATGTTTTTAGTAAACATTGTCTTACAGCTGCCTACTCCCAGGCAGAAGGGGAAGTGGGTCTCTGCTCAAAGTCTGGTGTTCCCACAGGGTTTCTCTGTGGTCTCTGGAACTCACTCTGTAGACCAGGCTGGCCTCGAACTCACAGAGATCCTCCTGCCTCTGCCTCCCGAGTGCTGGGATTAAAGGCGTGCGCCACCAACGGACGTCCAGCTTCTTTTCTTTTCATTTTTTTTTTAACTTGATCGCTTTTTCTATTCAAATCCCTCATCCATACAGCACGTAAATCCCTCATCCATACAGCACGTAATCAAATAATCAAATGTGGCAAAGACTTTTTCAGTGGGCTGTAGGACAACTGACTCATGGGTTGGCCACGCTGAAGCGTTTTGATTAGTTTATGTTTGACTTGCAAATGTTACCCAGACACACAAATAACTGCACCACCATCGAATTCCAGTCGACCAGCTCCTGGGCTCGCACTGCTGATCTGTCTTCCAGAAATCTTCCTCTCAAATGTTACCTTAACCGCGCGAAGCCTACAAGCCATCACACACAGATGTAAACGTAAAATTGAGGGGGAAAAAATCGAGCATTGAAAACCCTCCCGTCCCATATGCATTCCTCTATAGAGCAATTAACTTCATTATTTTGCTTAAATACATTATCTTACATTTAAAAGAGAAACCAAACGTATCTTTCTTTTTTGGGTAGCAGTTCTCTTTTTTTCATAATGTCTGATGTGTGAGTCTCTTTTCTCCCGTTTTCTACCCTCGTCTCAGTTTCCGCCCTCGGGGATCTTTCCGGGAAGAACAGCTTCTTTACTGAGCGTCGGGGGAAGACTAAGGAACAGTACGCAGCAGGGCGGCCTCTGTCGAATTTTGATTAACGGTTGTGGTTTTATGGCAGCAAAATTCAATCCGCGATTAGGAACTTTACACGACGTAGTTACTAGAGGAGTCCTGAAGAGGTAGCCAGAGCAAGTGGGGATGTAGCTCAGTGGTAGAGCGCATGCTTTGCATGTATGAGGCCCCGGGTTCGATCCCCGGCATCTCCAGGTGGCGGTAGCTTTTGCTTATTTTTCTTTTCCTCATGATAAATTTACAAACTGATCGCGCAGCTGCGGAAACCCCAGACGGTGGATGCACGGCTTAGAAAAGGCCGTTGGCGGTTACGTGCTTCACCACGTTCACTACTTCTCCCAGCTTGGAACTACTTCCGATGAAATTCGACAATAAGTACGCCCCGCCCCATCTCTGATTTTGGTAGAGAAACTTTAAGCAGAAAATGGAAGAAAACAGGGAAGATGGTCAGGCATCAACAGCTGAATTTAAAATGTCCGAGACTTTGTAGTCGTGTTAAATTCTCGTTCAACCCGGAACTTCTGACTTTTCTCCAAACATAGCCTTGAAGAAATAAGTACTCCGTCGCCAGGGCGCCCGGCTAGCTCAGTCGGTAGAGCATGAGACTCTTAATCTCAGGGTCGTGGGTTCGAGCCCCACGTTGGGCGCATCGCAGTAATTTTAGACCTCATAACGGTGGTTTGAGGAAAATAAAACTTTAGCAGTGTTTATCCCAAAGTTCATACCTTGCCAGAGGCACTCAGGGAAAAACAAACAATTACATTCTGGAAACTTAAAATCGAAAGTAATCTTGATCTCTCTCAGTGTCAAAATACGCATCGGGCGGTTTATCAAACACCTGTTTGTAAAGACCACGAGCCCTGCGCCTCAGTTTTGTTGTGGCAAAATATGTGAAATATTAATAATCAACTTAATAAATATTTTCTTTTAAAAACCAAACGTTGGGCCTTGAGCGCGCTGTGCAAGAGTGCTGGGATTAAAGGCGTGCACCACCAATGCCCGGCTGCGCATGATCTCTTATAAGGAAGAGGAGGGGTCTCTCTCTCTTGTGTGGTGGTCGGATGTGTGATCTCAGCTTCCATTAACCCAAGGCAGAACGGAAGACTGTGGTGGCTCTCTACCTTATTGTTATTCGTGAGTGTTCACCCCAAAATATTTGATATCCTTTTATTCAGGCTCTCGTGGACTCACACCTACCTATATAGATGCAAAGTCATAAAAATAATAATCTCGTAGGGCAGGCAGTGTGGCACATGCCTTTACTCCCAGCACTTGGGAGGCCTACAGAGCGAGTTCCAGGACAGGTTCCAAAGCTACAGAGAAACCTTGTCTTGAAAAACCAACAACAGCAACAACAAATCACGGCAAGCCCAGTAACTGGAGCATTAATTGTAAAGAAAAGACTGGCAGTAAAGAAAACACGTGGAAGTGATTTGGTGAACTATGATTCTGCGACAGCAGAGTATTACACACGGTTGCTGTATAACCATCTACT